ACGACGCTGACTATCAGAGGATTTTCACCCTCCATCAATATCCAACTTGCATAAAATGGGCAGAGCGGTCAGATCTTGAATAGACACTACAAGTCCATAGAGCTCTAAAATAGGAAAGTCCTGTGTTTTACCGATACACAAAATGTTTAAGGCAATTGCCAACTTGATGGGTTAATATTCTCTTAAACAACTTCTCAGGCAAATTCTACTGTGTCTCAAATGTGTATCATCTGAAACTTCATAGAAGTGGTGCACCACACAAACCATATCATGTTATTTCGGAATCTGTACAACTTAATGCAAACCCAGTGGGAACGTAATGATTATGTTTGTGAAAGTCACAAAGCAATTTTATATTTACAAATACTTAAAATGATAATTACTTCGCTCCTTACATCAATTCTGTAAACAGTCAAAATTATACCCATTTCACAGAAAACGAACTAGACATTGAGATAAAACACCTAAAAATCAATTCAGAACAAGAATATGAATTCATTGTCATAAACCTCTAGCCCTCATAAGTTCTCCTTTCCTCCCTCTCTCTCTTCTAATTAATTCAGCAAGTAGCTTATACGAACACTCATACAGGATTTTTTTTACTAGTCAACTATTCTTCTACTCTTAAAGTAAGTACGACTAGCAAGGAAAGCTACTAAACTCCTACGGCAAAAGGTAAAAGACAAACAAACCTAAGCAAACATCATTTCATAATTAGGCTACTTTGGTTGCAACCTAATTCTGCGGTTTAGTGCATACGCCTGGGTAACACAGAGTTAGGTCTGTACAGCAACAGACCTAACTGCTGAGGCAGAGTTTGAAATCACTCCAACATTTGGTTCATTTTCAAGATTCAGAATGAGGTCCTAACTAGGAAAGCTCAGAGACAGGAGTTGGGAGCAAACTAAACAAGACATGGGAAAGTAGCTGCTCAATCTAAATTATGATCATCTGGGTATCCCAATTCAACACCCTGATACATCCCACTCTATTCAACATCGAAGGGAACAGGTATAAAACTCTCACAAACCAGTATGAATAGTTAAGTTACATCTCAACCAATGAGTCTAGCAGACTCTTTAAAGACACAGTTATTTCTGTTATCTGTAAATGTTTGGCTTCTAAGAATAGGGACATAATGTACTTTTCAGTGTAATAGTGTAAAATCAAATTAGATGGATTCTAAAAACACCAATTCACCTTGCAAGGAGCTTATTAATTAGAGAGAATGGCTACCTATTAAATTTTGGTAAGAAAATGGGAAAAAAGAATATTAAGATAATCCAGGTTGATAGGATATAACAGAATATTCCCTAAAGTTATCTCAATTAAAAAGCATTACAAATAAAAAATCATTATTTTAAACATAAATAAAACATTTTCGTAAGAAATATATTGTTAAATTTGAAGGTAAGTTCAAACTTTCTTGTAAAATAGCCTCTAGGCCACTAGCCGATGTAACAGGGGCTCAAGAATACTAAGTAAATGAACTTACTTAGTAAGTAAGTACTAATGGTTGTTAAATTAATCTTTTAACATCTCTCTTAGTAAAAAGGATCTTCTGTTAAGAATCTGGAAAAAAATTTGGATTCCATTTTGATCTTTAACAATCCAAATTATCTTTTTTTGTGTGATATTTTAAAAGTAAACAGCATCACTTACAATAATTATAAAATCATGAATTAAAGATTTGCTAAAATTTTCAATTTAATTACTAAAATTCAGCAATTTTACTGATTTTATCCTGATAAGGGAATATTATTCATAGGAATATAAATGTGCCTATATATTTTTTTCTGTCAGTTTTATCCATTTTATTGACTTTTCAATTAACAATAAAGTTCGTTTGGATAGTAAGTCAGAAAATTCTTTCTATCGTGGCTTTAAACGGCATTTTTTAACCCCAAAACATTATCCAGAACCATTTTAGGCTACAATGCAACCAAAGTATAAATAGTAGGAACTCACATTCCCCTGAACAACTGTCCTTCCACTTAGAACACAATGAACTTCTTAGGTAGGCAGGCAGAATTCTTGTTCACTTAACTGCAACCCCATTTAAGCACGGAATCAGAGCAAAAAAAGTAAAAAGTGAAGAAGGGAATAGAAAGGATATACATTAGTATTAAACCATATGCTATCTGAGTGTTAGGTTCCCACATAAATATTTTGCTGTATATTTTAAAAATCACTTCTCAAGGACTGATTTCCTCTACTTCCATTATCTTTTATAATGAAATACTCCTTTTCAAGTTACTTATTAGAGTTGTTACTAGCAAATACTGTCACATACCTCTAGTTCAAGATATTAATATATACACTTAGCCTGAAACTAAGTGTACTACTTAGTTTTAGTTATAAATAATATATGTATAAAACAGGTAGGGTTGCCATTATTTATATACTGCAATAAATATACAAGAATGAGTACAAATTATTTTTCATAAAAATACAACCTCTAATCAATTCAGGAGGTTTCCGAACTATGACGACATTGAATACATTAAAACACCAGGCAGTCTCCTCTGTTATAGAATGCCAGTCAGGTGAGATCTGAAAGAGATTCTTTATTGGTAGCCATATACAGTGGACTATACCATCTCTGTGTTTTCTTGCTATTTAAGAAAAAATATAGAACCTGGACATTTAAAACATTATCAATGAAATAATCACCACAGACTCACTGGATCTTTTAAAATTTTGTTAAAAATTGCCAAAGTCATGATGGATACAATTATTGCAGCTACATCATTTGAAAAAGTAATATACATTATGCTGCTAAAGACAAAAAACATCGAAACGCATAAACATCATAATGTAACACAGCAGTAACTCATAACTATTAATATGAAAAATTAAAAAGTTATGTTAGAGAACTCGGGAATTTTTCATTTTAGCAAAACATTGTATTTATATATCTCCAACTTCTATGATACAGTATACCATAAAATACTTTTAAAAGGTACAACATTCAAATGCTTCATTTACACAAATAATATTGCCAGTACTAATAAAAGTGATGCCCTTAAACATGAACTGCTCTGCTAATTATGATTTTTAAAATGTTTTACTTCATTTTACATTTTAGCTAGCAGTCAGCATTACATATTAATCAGTTCTGTGTTGACAAATAGGATCCTAGTCAAAATACTGTTTCTGAAAAGTAATGTACATTATATTGCTTGAAACTAATAACCATATAAAAGTGGTAATCATTTATCTAAACACTGATTATGAAAGACAACTGGCATATATTCAGGCAGAGTGTTGAGTTCATGATGGTTTATTTACAATAAAAGTACTTTTACTGAAGCTAACATGATATATAGGTTTCTATGTCAATTACTACAGTCTCTTAAAATTATAAAAATATATAAAATACCACAGGCTTTAGAGGATACAAGTTCATGTGGTTCTGATACTAGCAGCTGAAAAGTGTTTATAATTTAAAAATAAATAAACTATAGAGGTAAACCAGTTACAAAACAGCAGGGGACTGCAACAGTCACAAGAGTGGAAAGAACTGCTTAACTACACAATAGCTAACAAAACGGTGAAGCAGTTGGATCAAAAGTTTTAAAAACCTCTTTCAGAGATTTGTCATCTGTTGCTCTACGAGGGTCATCATCTGGGGTAGGGCTCACCTGACCCAGCTGCTTTGACTGTCTTGGATCGCTGTACTGGGGTCTAATTAAGCCTGTTAATGCCTGAATCGGAAGACTGTGCACGGCTGGGACCTGAACGGTACCGGCACTCCCAAGAATATCTGCCTCTGGGTCAGCTGGCCCATCAACAGGGACGTCCACGTTCGGAGCGATTTTCTGTGGTAGGACTGCTTCTCCAGGAGGAGGGTCGTTTTTATCACTACTTTTCAAACCACCACTTTTTTTCTGGCTCTCTGCATTTTCTGTTGCTAGCTCTGATGTAGATGATGAACTACGCTCCCTAGGGTCATACAAACTAATAGCACTAAGGACTGAACCTGGAGTTCCCAGGGGAAGGCCAGCTGAAGATGAGAGTTTAGGGGCATATGGAGGCAAAGCCCCGGGACCAGAATTGCTAGATACTGCCCCTAAGGGCTGTGATGAACCAGAGTTTGATCTGGCTACATGAGGGGCACCCTTTGATGTATGTGAATCCTTCATAACTGCTTGAAGAGACTCTGTACTCTGCAGTCTGTGAAGTCTAGGATCACAATGTTTTTGCAGCCTAGGGTCTCCTAATTTACTTCCTGAACTAGGTGCGTCTCCCAGTTGTTCCAGGTAGTAGCCTTCTCTGTTTGCTGTGTTAGTTTTGGCTTTGGCTGCTAGCTTTGCATCAGTGGGCACTGTGCTTTGACGAAGATCACTTTTTGTATTCCACAACCTACTGAGCCTCTGATCAGCTATAAGAGGGGGCAGAGGTAAATTGATTGAAGATACTGGGTCAGGTTTAGGTAAAGGGACTGGAAGTAAGTCTTCTGGAGCCCACACGATGTGTTTTGCAAAGTTGGGTTTGGTTAGGGTAATATCCATTTTAATGTGACTAAACTGTCTCAGTTGTGACCTTGGATCCTGGAGCATTATACCAGGGGAAGAATCCAAAGGTATTAAGAAAGCTTTTTCTCTCAGTTCTCTTTCTGTATCTTCATCATCATCGTCTCCTCTTTTGTGTTTGACATTAGGGCCAGCATTTCCACGATGTAAATCAAACTTTGCTCCACCCACAGAAGAACCTACGTGACCACTTCCATTCCCTCTTAATTTCCTGGGATCCCATGCAAGTCTAAGATCCAGTGGGGTAGACTCAGAAGATTTTCTAACGTCTTGCCTTGAGATAGTCCTAAGTCTAGGGTCAACCACTTGGCTTCCTTTATTTTTCTCTTTAGCCAGTCTTGGATCAGTAGGAGTGCTGAGTTCTGTGGAAGATTGTTGTTGACTCCTTAAAGTTTCTGTTTGTTTCTGCAACGTTTTCAGTATTGACTTGACACTGCTTCCTTCTTCCTCTTCACTACTGGAATACCAGTTAACAGTATCATCTAAATGCAGACAAAAACTATGGTAAAGAATGAAGCATTCATATTTGGCCTTAATTAAGATGAAAAAAACATATATACTATTTCTGAATAAGTGTAGTCTAACTTCAAGAAAACGCAACATAGAAATGACAGAGTTTCAACACTGGAACAAGATAAGACGTGGTATAACAATGAACAATTCAGTCACTATACTTTATAAAGAAAGAAGTATGATATTAGAACATGTGGAATGTCCTTCTCGTCAGAGAACAGTCTGAACCTTTCATTCCAACTGGTCAAAGGGAGCTCAGAAATGTGTGGTAAGACAGAGCTGGGGGAGAAGGGAAAACCCTCTTGAAAAGGAATACCGAAATGTTTTGGCTCTCTTTAATTCAAGCAATCCCTTAAACTTCATAGCTCTGGATTTATCAGGATAACAAGGGAGAGCTATGAAAAAAAATACCTGGAAAGAAAACAAAACACTAACAACGATGGTTAAGGAAGCAAAGGGAACCAAGCAAGTGTGGGCTCAGGTGGGGACTTTTCACTCATACTATATTTTTAGATGTTTGAATGTGTGAATATATTAATTATTCAAACATTAAATTAAGAACAACAAAGAAAACTAACAGCCTAAAATTTATATATTTTACCTTTACGAGAACACTTTGGGCCTTACTCTTTTTTTTTTTTTTTTCTTGCGTTATGCGGGCCTCTCACTGCTGTGGCCTCTCCCATTTGCGGAGCACAGGCTCCGGACGCGCAGGCTCAGTGGCCATGGCTCACGGGCCCAGCCGCTCCGCGGCATGTGGGATCCTCCCGAAACGGGGCACGAACCCGCGTCTCCTGCATCGGCAGGCGGACTCTCAAGCACTGCGCCACCAGGGAAGCCCGGGCCTTACTCTTAAAGCCTATGTAACCCTAGTGTATTAGGCACAATGTTAAGACGCTTAACCATCAGAGGTCTTCTCTCTAGTAGAGAAGGGAATAAAAACTGATGCTTCAGGAGGGCGAGTCTCCTTCCCCTCCATTAAAACACACATAGGTAATCTCTGAATTGGCCATATACATATATGTGTGTGTGTATATATATATATATGTATATATACACACACACATATATATACATATATATACACATACATGAACATATGTACACACGCACATATATATACATATATATACACACATACATGAACATATGTACACACACATATTCATACATATCCTAGAATATCTTGGATCAATAGAATAGCATATATATTCTCACTTTTACCTCATCTCACTGCTCACTAATGTGTTTCCACAACATCGAACTTTAGTGTTACACACTTAGTTTGAACAGGACAGTGCTGACAAAACAAGCACTCGGTAAAGCAATTATACTCCAATAAAGATTTAAAAAAACAAATACATAGAACAGATCCTTCCCTCACAGCCCTCAGAAGGAATCCACCCTGCTGACACCTAGATCTCAAACTTCTGGCCCCCAGAACTGTGAGACAATAAATATCTGTTGTTTAAGCCAAAACCAAAACCAAAACAACAGCAACAACAAAAACAAGCACTCGTATTTAGGGTGGGGATGTGGCTTAAAAAAGTATATCAATATTATATCACAATGGCGAAAAGTTTTACTCATATCTCGGTGTCTGAAAAAACTACTTCTAGACACCGGATCGCTTTTTTTTTTTCTTTGACTTCCAGGAAGTCTAGAGCTAGACTTGTGATTCACTTTCAGCTGTTGTAGTTATTTTAAATATTCCTGTATAGGAGTTTCACTCCTCATAGAATTTGGTACTTGATCCAGATAGGTAAGACAATCCAAATCTGATCCAAATAGGTAAGATGCTATTTTATTTTCACTTTCATATCAATGTATTTTATAAGCAGTCTTAAATTCTTGTTGGAATAAAAATGAATATAGAGCAGAAAGAAAGTAGAACAGTAGAGAAAGGTCAGTGGAAAGCAGATATTAGATAGAAAATGATAGTTAAGAGGTTTCTATCAGCATTTTATCAAAGGACAAATAAAATTTATAAAGGCAATAAAATTTCTAACAATGAACAAAAACACAAAAAACCTAGCTGTTTAAGAAGTTTTCTGTATTCCGAGAAAACAAGCCTCATAAAACATTACCAATTTTATAGTGTTATAGTATGAAATTTTATATCATGTAGAAAAGTTTTAATTTTCTTACTTATGAAAACATAAAGCTTTGTTACACTTTAAAGAAAGATTACCATTAAAATGGTTGCGTATTAAAATTAGCACCTAAAAGAGTACACATAAATTTTACAGGAATTAACTTATTAGAAATTCCTCATTTCCCTGTCATGCTAAATAAATGAAGAGTTAATAACACCTTTTTTGAAAACATAACAATGTTTATATAATAGCTTGTAGCTACCTAGTGTTATCTAGTTTTACATAGTTATTCATAAATTTCATGGGTTTTTTTTTTTTTTTTTTTTTGGCTGCACCTCGAGGTATGCAAAACTTCCCAGCCCAGGGATCAAACCCGTCTCCCCTGCAGTGGAAGTGCAGAGTCTTAACCACTGGACTGCCAAGGAAGCCCTAAATTTCATGTTTAAGAGTGGCCAAACACATCAATTTTGTAATTCATAAGAAGAACTGGGTGATTTAAAGTTCTCTGCCCTTAACTGAGTTAACTAACTGCTGTACACTTACCAATATCAAAAATACTAAGGGAAACTTAGTGTCCCCACGTAGTTTTTTACATTAAAAATAATATTCCTTAATAACATAGCAGAACCTGAAGTATACAGCCTCTGCCCATGAAAATCTAATAATCAAATAACTTTGAGCTTGAGTTACAGGTTAAAATTCCTGAACTGGAAGGTATCTTGTTCCTGTTCTACTTCTTTTCTTCAAAAACAAAAAAAAAAGAAAAAAGAAAAAAGGCTTAATAGCAAGTCTGCTTGCCCAGGCCTCACACTCCAGCTTCAGATCTCTTTATTGCTTCAAATCAAACCCTTTGCCATTAACTACTAATGCATCAATGGCACTGGAAACTACAATCAATCCCAAGAAGATAGGAGCTATGAGATAAATTGGAAATAGAATAGTTCACAGGAACTCCTTTTTCAAATTTTAACTTATTCAAGACCATTTCAGGAACTGAGTGATCCAAATAGGTAAGATGCTATCATACCACCTGACACACCTTCTTCCTTGCTTGGTGCCCGCTGAGGTTGGGTGCTGCCTGGTTCTTCATCTTCTTGGTATTTCTGAGTAAGTCTAACAAAAAGAGCTCTCTGCACTGCAGGGAGGAGACCTGGTGCAGGCAGGGGGCCATGGCCTGTCACATTACTGCTGCTGTCAGACCCACTCCCGCGGGTAGGTGAGTCTTGAACGACAGGAGGCTGATGCTGGGCAAATTCACCATGCCACGTCCCATCTACATACATAACACGGAAAGAGACTGATTTAACATAAAACTCCACTAGACAAGTACCACTGTGAGTTGTAAGAAATTGAGTTACAATAACATCACATTTGATTATCAGATTATTATGTGATTGTAAGCACTTTTCAAGGTTATCTAAAGGTCTATTGTTACAAATATTTGGTTAAATTTAAATCATATTTTAATGTTTCAATTTCATCACATTTTACGTTGCTTTATTTAAAACATGCATTCTTTCCATGCTTTTAAAGAAAAATAGGACTCCAGGTATTTTAAATTAGAAATGAGTTATTTCAAAAGGTAAGCTTACCACCAGAGTTATTGGGTGGCTGAAAATTATGTACAGCATGCTGTGAATAGTAATTATCATAAAACTCAGCTGGGTTTTGTAAGGACTCATAATTGGTATTGAGCTGCATTTCACCAGGACTGTGCAGGTGTGATGAACCTGGAGAACAGTGATTCTCTCTAGGTACTTTCATCATGTGTTCTGGAAAGCCAGGGCAATGGTAAGCGCCACTCATATTTGGTGGTGTCAAAGGTGTATCCGGTTGAACAAGTACTCCCGCTTGACTGTGAGGGCCTACAATTCCAGCTGGACCAGGCAGCAAAGGTGGGCTCTGCGGCATTGGTAGACCAGGAGGTCCTGCGCATGGATGATGTCCAGGGGAGCCTGGGTGCATCACAGGACTATTGTGTCCCTGAGACATATTAGGTCCGGGACCTGGACTTGACCCAGAACTATACATATGTTGAGTATGTGGGCTGCTTTCCTGAAACTGTGGTCCTGGTGGTGAGGCACTGTTATAAAATGCTGGTGGCCTGTAGACAAAAGAATAATATTTCTTAGTTCAAAGAAAAGAGGCAAACAAGAATGTTACATTTCTAAATAGATATTGGTTGAATGTTTTACAGTATCAGAAGAGAAAACTATATTTTTAAGAAGCAATTTATTCCATATTGTCTATAAGTAGAAACACCAACATATGTATCTTGCCTTCATTCTAGCACACAAGTTTTCTAAATTGCTGCTTACTATCATCTGTTCTAAAACTTAATATTGATGTTTTGAAAAATACAGAAAAATACAAAGATAAATAAGATTCATCTCTAATCCTATCACCCAGAGATAAATTTTTGATTGGTTCTCTTCTAATCCTTTTTCTAGGCGCACACAGACCTTTTTATAACAAAATTAGAATTATACTATATAACCGTACTGCTTGTATTATAATTTCTAATTGGTTATTGCTTGACATAAAAAGATTTCAGTTTTTGAATGTTGCTCTTCTTTCTGGGCATTTTACTAATTTAATTACAGTTGGGCCTCCATATCAGCAGGTTCTGCATCCACAGATTCAACCAACTGCAGATTGAAAATATTCAGAAGAAAAAAATTGCAAAAAGTTCTGAAAGCAAACCTTTATGTGCTGTACTCCAGCAACTATTTACATAGTATCTACATTGTATTCACAACTACTTACATAACATTTGCATTGTATTAGGTATTACAGATAATCCAGGGATTATTTAAAGTATACGGGAGTATGTATGAAGGTTATAAGCAAATACTTCACCATGTTAATATAAAGGACTTGAGCATCTGTGGATTTTGGTATCCATGGAGTTCCTGGAACCAATCCTCCTCAGACACCCAGGAACAACTGTACAACTTCTAATAGTTTTGTCAGTGATTACTTTGGGTTTACTAAGGGAAAATGCCCAAATAATGAGTCTGCCCCACCATTTCTAATCATATCTACTATATCTTTCTCTTTTTGCATTGACTAGGATCTAATCTATAATATTTAGCCAAGCAGTTCAGTGATTACTTTGGGTTTACTAAGGGAAAATGCCCAAATAATGAGTCTGCCCCACCATTTCTAATCATATCTACTATATCTTTCTCTTTTTGCATTGACTAGGATCTAATCTATAATATTTAGCCAAGCAGTGGACAGACTTGTCTTCTTCTTGACTTTAATAGAAATACTTTTTTTTTTTTTTTTTTTTTTTTTT